AAAACGAGGATTACAAGGTAAAGGACAATGCAAACAGGGGGTGGGACGATATTGCCCTCCTTGAAAGATAGAATAGTTGTGCAATAATTCGAATCATCCTCCTGTTCTTAGTTCGTCATATTATGCTAGTAATTAAACAATATTAGAAGTTTCCCGCTTTCCCATAGGTCAGACTGACTGCTTTCATGCAGGTCGTAACTACGAACAGCGCCCCAATCTGCCAGCAGGGCAACTTTAAACGCGAGGAAAAGTGGAACTTAATGACAACACTGAATGACAGAATTACAGGGGCCTTGATAAGCCCGAGTATCGCCGGGGGTAGGTAGTACAACCTTTTTACTACAGGAACAGACCTTGTAGACTGCCTTGACACATGCAGGGTAGTTTTTGTGCATCTAGTTGATCGTCAGTTTGATCGAAAAACTCTGCTACCTACCCACGATAATCCTATGGCATGTTCGAGTAAACAGAAATCTAGAATTATATAAGCACTCGTGATAATGCAAGGCTCATCAGCTATGCCAAATATAGCCCACGTAAGGAACGGCAATCCTCAAACCCTCAGTTATCGTAGCGGTGAGACGCAACGGCCCGCCAAGAAGAGGCTATTGGCACCGGACTATTAAGCCAATAGCAAACAAGCGAGATTCAAATCCGGGTGGCGCTCTCCACTAGACCTTTATCAGACAAGGTGCTCGGATCTATAATCAGTGGAATCGCCGACGGCCCTTTGATATAGTTCCTGGCCCTGAAGCGGGTCTTCGTCATGGTTAGGGCATCCTAATACCATCCCTTGCACCGTCACGCCCCATCATTCGGATAGAAGATTGTGATTTGATCACTGAGAGACGGTATTTCGTACACGTGATTTAGTTGGTCACTAGTGTGCCCAACAAATTGTTCAGCTGGAATTTGTCGCGTATCTTCAGCATAGGGTCACACATATGCGCCTAGTCTCCCTTAAATTGGAGTAAGTGGTGAGTTATTTAGTAAACCGCATCGTGGGATTTGAATCAAGGGCGGCGGAACACTTCGGAGATCCGCATTTGTTATCTCCATGTGTGTATCTGGCGGCACTGTTGCACAGAAAACGAAGTCAGCATGCAGTTGTAGAACATGGTCAACCTAGAAACCAGATGACGAGAAGATCGAGGGCAAATCCGCGCGAGGAGATAGGGCTGGTTAGTGCTGGTTGGTTAAGAGTCACGGGGCCTCAAGGCCGGTCCTGCGTTGACCCCACCATCTTCGAACTATCCTCAATGGAACAGGGTTCACCTAGGAAGAAAATGGCCGAAAGTATTCAAGATACCATTTGGAGACTAACAGGTTCGTAGCGGCCAGCTCCTCATCCCACTTGTTTACTACATGTTAATGAGTTTTCTTTGTGTGATCCAGTCAGCGCGTTTTTTCCGGAGTCCGAGCATTCTGTACCAGCCAAAATGGCTCAGATTATGAGAGACAAACCAGGTTTCGATAGACCATCCTTTGTTGTATATCCCACAGTGGCGCTCGGAGAGTAAACTGGTACATATCCATGCTAAACCATGGCATGTGTCCTAAAACCTTATGTAGGCGCTGACATGCCAGTCTTGAAGTATCTCGAAGTGTTTTTTGTCAATGTGGGATATGGTTCGTCGGTCTTGCGGTTGAATCGGCGATGCCGGGGAACGTTCTTCCATCTGTGATCCAGTATATCTGTTCTGAATTGATTTCGAAACACCAATCGGAGGAGCACGCTAATGCACCATGGATAAGAGCAAGCACGCGGCCCTCGAACACTTCCCACGATGGAAATTGTCGTCCATATACATAGGTGGGGTGCTATTATCGCTTTGACTTGGAAGATGCTTTAACCCTATATACTTAATTGAGACAGTTGCATATTCAACTTTGCAGATCTCAAAGCATCAGGAGTTGCAGGTATTGGCCGAGTCACTGACGTGCTGGTCATGGGTTCGTTGCAGATAGAAGCTGAGCCAGGACAGTCGCTGATGCAATGGAGTCAGGAGGTTTCCACTTTTGAGTTCACCATGCCTTCCGTCGTTGCTGCAAGGAGCAACGTGAGGAACATACTAAGTCTGCATTTTCGTTGAGCTAACAAACTTGCAGGAAATCGCCGTGGGGGTGTGGAATATTCACTCTCCAAAATGGATAACCCCGTGCCCAAATCTGGCCATCATTCACACTACCGTTCATGGCTCTCATTTGAGTTATGGAGCCCAAGTGTGCATAGGCAGGCGTTGTGTATCAGAACCACGTCTCCTATCGAACCTTGTGGCTGCATACGTCTTTCTCAAGACCAAGCTCTAGCTAATTGATTCGTTCCTACATAAGGAAGGAAATCTCGCACCTCGAGAGCCGTATTCTGGTAATAGTCAAAGCAGGTCCTACATACCGAATACTAGAAGCTAGTCATGTGTGGTCTAACAGCTTTTCTTGCCCTCCATTGGAGGTCTGACTGGCAGCATGACGAGTTTGCAGGCACTGGAAATTTGGAACAGAAGGTCAACGACAGTCTGGACCTGATCAGACACCGAGGGCCTGACTCTCGAGGGCAATGGCTTAGCTCGGACTGTCGAGTTGGTAAGTCCATATAACGTCTTGGGAAGTGGTATGCGATATACTGACATGAAGACTTAAAGGGCTTGGACACGTCCGACTTTCAATTATCGACCTGAGCCCCGCCGGAAACCAGCCATTCCACGACAGCGAGGACAATGTTCATGCCGTTGTAAACGGTGAGCTCTATGACTATGACCGTGTCAAAGCTGAGCTGTCGAGCGAATATGACTTCAAAAGCAAAAGCGATTGCGAAATTGTCATTGCACTTTACAAACATTACGGAGAGTCGTTCCTCTCGCATTTACGGGGCGAGTTTGCTCTAGTCCTATATGATGCCAGGCGACAGCTGTTCATTGCTGCCAGAGACCGATATGGAATCAAGTCCCTCTACTATACGGTAATAGATGGCCGACTAGTGGTTGCCACCGAGATGAAATGTTTTCTGTCTTTCGGATGGAGTCCTGAATGGAACGTCGCCAATTTGCGGGAGAAGAGCTGGCTGTATGGGCCCCAGATGTACTTCAAAGACGTGAGCCGAGTGAGTGACGAAATCAGTACGACTTCGTACCATGGATCACTGATCATGCAACCAGATCGGTCCTGGCCAGTACCTCGTTAGCCAAGACTTCAATACTCCTCGGGTGAAATCCTACTGGGATCTTGACTACCCCAATAAAGTGAGCAAGCAATTCGGGCGAGATGCTGATTAAATACTAACTTAGTCCTACACAGCATCATGCCTACCCACACTCAGAAGAAGAGACGGTGGCCAGAGTCCGGGAGCTTCTTCTAGAATCAGTGCAACATCGACTTCGTGCTGACGTGGGTGTTGGCGTATTCTTAAGTGGAGGGCTGGACTCTTCGGCCATTGCGGGTATGACGGCACATATTATTCGACAAGGCCAGAGCCTAGGAAACGATGCAAGCGGAAACCTCTCCAACCTAAGCTGTTTTACGGTCCAGTTCGATAAGACCAGTGGGTTGGATGAATCAGGTACTTCTCACTGGTCCTCCATGGTTCCACAATCCACTTACCAGTTCCAGATGTCGCCCGGAGAACAGCAGAATGGCTAGGAGTGGATTTCCATCCAGTCATTCTGGACGAAGAGGCTATTGCTTCCAGACTAGAAGATACAGTGTGGCATACAGAGACACCCATACCCGACGTGAATGGAATGGGCCGCTTAGCCCTCGCAGAGGCCGCCCATGCAGCAGGCAAAAGAGTCGTGCTGACCGGCGAGGGGTCCGACGAGCACTTTGCAGGCTATGCAGACTTTATATGGCGTTACATACTGGAACCGGACCATTCATGGGCCTCATCGGACACCATGGCTGAGCTACCGGAGGCACGGAAGGTCGCCCATGCGTTAATCGCCAAAGGCTTTCTAGGCGCACTTCCCCCTCCTTCTGATGAGGAGGCTTCACGAACTCTCAACGATAGTTCAGTATTTCCCAGATTCAACGCATTATTCCAGCCACGCTTCCAAAAGTGGGTCTACAAAGACAGTCACAGTCGCCCTGAGTTGTTGTTTGCCAGAAGCTTCAGTGAGAAGGTCCTTGCAGACGTGGCTACAAAGTGGCATCCGTTGCATTCATCAGAATACCAGTGGACTAGAAGTATATTGACGAATTATATTCTCCGCTATCTAGGGGACAACATCGACATGGTGTACCAGATTGAGTCGCGACCACCCTTCCTTGACCACCACCTCACCGAATATGTGAACGGGATTCCCCCTAGTCTGAAAATCAAATACTGCTCTGCGACAAAGACCTTTCGTGAGAAGCATATTCTGCGCGAGGCAATGAAGCCATTCGTTACCGAGGAGGTCTATAACCGCACGAAGCAACCTTATGTCGGTCCAAACAAGTATAAAAAGAATGGGCCGGTTTATAGGATCCTCGAGACGTTGGTGACAGAGACCAATGTCAGAGCTCTGGGGTTCTTGGAGTGGCATGGGGTACAGGAGGATTTCGTGAGAGCCTTTCGCGATCATGATACACTGTCATTCAAGAATACACTTTCGGTGGCTCAGATGGTCGTTCTTGGGAAGCGGTTCGGGGTGAAGACGGCGGAAGATCCTCAGAGAGAGGTGGTGGCTTATGAAGGGACTGAAAATGCGATGCTTAGGAGCCGATTGTAATATATGCTGTGTTGACACTAAGATAATTAGCACAGCCAATGCAGTGAAATGAAGCATTGTTCAGCTAGTTATGGTGCTTTGGAGAACCAGTCAGTATCAGCCTTTGTGCGTGGCAGTGGGAGCCGGAATCGGATAGTGAAAACGGCAGTCTTGTGGCAACACTTCATGTAGAATAGTGAGATCGATTTGAATCCTTCACCTGCAAGTCCTCTTCGTCAGGAATTGAAGGCTTAGGTCATCATCTGCAAGGGGTGATTAGGATGATATGACTGTGTGAATGTTCTATAATCTCACCGAAGCTTTGATCAACTAATCATTCTATTCAACACTAAACGCCATCACTTCCCCCGTCCCACCGCCCATCACGCAAACCCATTCGCCTTATTAAACTCGTCAACCACCTCCCTCGTCGCCTTCACAATCTCCAAACACCCCGGCGAATCCGAATGACAACAAATGGTAACCGGATAATCCTTAACCCCCATCTGCACCACCGACCCATCAACAGCCGTGGCCGACGAATCCTCCACCTGCTGCCTCACATGCGCCTTGACATCTTCAATCTTCCACGGCTTCTTCTTCCGATCAATCACCAGCATCCCATCCGGCCCGTACTTGACATCTCCGAACAGCTCCGCCCAGAACGGCACCCCCAGCTCCTTCGCCGCTTGCTCCATGTATGTTCCTCCTAGTCCTACTACCGGGACCCCGGCTGGTATTCCCCTTATGACAGCCCGCGCGATTTCCAGGTCGCGACACATCATGCCGTAGAGCACGCCGTGTGGCTTGACGTGGTGGAGGGGGATGTTTTCGCGTGCTAGGAAGCCTTGTAACGCCCCGACTTGGTAGATGATGTTGGCGGTGTGTTCTTCCGGGCTGAGCTTCATTTCGCGTCGGCCGAAGCCTTGCACGTCGGGGAGGCCGGGGTGGGCGCCGATCGATATGTTGTGCTTTTTGCACAGGGAGACGGTTTCTTGCATTATTAGGGGGTCACCGGCACTATTGTAAGAAGAGAGGGTTAGGTTTGGGGTGATTGTTTGGGGTTATGAGAGATTGCTGCTTACTGGAATCCACAGGCTACGTTGGCCTGGTCGATGAGGGGGATGAGTTCTTCGTCCGGGCCGCATTTGAAGTTCCCGTAGCCTTCGCCGAGGTCGACGTTGATGAAGACTTTGGTTCGTAGGGGAGGCATGGTGGTGAGAGTGGTTATGTGGTTTAGGGGTACCCTGTATGTGTGAAGTGGGTGACGATATATGGAATGGTTGTAGGATTACCTGTTTAGCTGTTGGAATACGTTCATGGTTGGTTCCATGGTCCTGGGAAGTGGGGTTGTTGGAGGCGGGGAACTGCCTATCGTAGTGTTGCGCTGCATTGGCTGCATCGTGCCTAAGTTTTGGGCCTCATCACGTATGCCGCATAAAATTGACTTTAGTGGCAACCTGGCATCTTTATCGATGCCTTGGAGATCCCCCAAAACCAATGTCTTGGAGGGATTACTACGACCCACTTGCGAGGGGTTCGCTGTGTCCGTCCAAAATAGCGTGCGGAGTAGGGATCCATTATCCCCTCATCTTCCCGGCGCCTTATCTCTCCCTCCCTCCCTCCCGCTCTCGGTTTCAGATCAATGCCGAAATCGGTCAATAAGGACCAACACCCAGGTGACATCAACCCCATCAAAAGCTCGACTTTTCAAACCAGGTTCTCCTATGATGGCCCCCACGCCAAAGGACCCCAATGTAGCCTTATGTTGACACGACCAGATTGTCAGGAGCGTACAAAGGATACTCGTGAAACACGTTCCGCACAACTGGGCACGCAAAATTCCAAATAACTTACTGCGAGCATGCCGTTATCCCGTCCGGATTGCTATTTCTCCAGAAGCAGGGAAAGCTTAGGTGTTGCATCTGATGCTAGCTGTGCGACTGGGCCTTGCACACAACGCCGGGATGCATTCGGTTGCCGAGCAGAGAGAGAGAGCCATTCGAGTGACGTTGAATGTCCCGGGGATTGGAACAAACACGAGGCCAGCAGTCATCCTGGAGACCAGCTTCATTCTTACTCGTGGATCTATCCGAGGGCGGAAGACATTGTCTAACATCTGGGAACAGGCGACAACCTTGTATAATAAGTCTAGACCATGGCATTGTAGTTGTATTCCTGGCAAACGGACAGACTGTCGGGTCGACTGACCACATGCCCTCCTTGGAATTCCGCCATGCTGATCGGAGCGTTCCATTGTAGATGGCACATTCTTAGAAGATGGGCAGATTTTGAGACGAGTTGTGATTGAAAGTCCGGTGCTGCTGATTGCTTGTCCTACCCATTGTGGAGCGGTCAACCGTTATCCAGGAATGGATGTTGTGGATGGTGTGGGACCTAGATAGGATAGACGGACGGTAAGTCAAGTAGTAGAGTAAAGTCTGGAGCCTGTTGCCTACTGGGATATGTCTGTACAATCGTAGTATCTTCTGCTTTGTGCTTCGGTGGCTGTGAATTCGAGGATAAGCCGGCAGGTGACAAGGCGAGGCGGTCGAATAGGAACGCGGGGATTACCTCCCTCCACCACCCACCAACTGCAATCAACTGCTGTCGCCCACACCGGCTGAACCTCTCCGATCCCTCTCAACTTCATCCTGCTCCCTGGTGGCGTCTGTCATCCTATCCCCGCCTCGCAGCGTTGTTTCAACATCGTCTGTGGTGTCCCCTGTGTTCAGTAACCCCTTCTTGAGCAACTGCTGCCATCTTTGTGTTTTTATCTCAAACAAGAAAAATGCACTCACTGGTTGACGGGCCTTTTCGTCCTCGCAAACCGTGGCGTTTGTCTCTTCCCCTCCCGCCTCCATCCATTATCATCGAAACCTGCATGAAAGGGAGTGTTCTAGCTCCAATCGCCATGCTTCCAATGGAGACCCGGCTCTTGTCTGAGCTCCTACCTCGGATCGACGAATCCGCGTCGCACAACTTGCACCAGCTGTCTCCGCAATCTGCTGCTCTAGTGCAACTCTTATCACCTGGAGGCCTCTCTCTCTCCTCACCGTCTGGGGCCGTCTCGGGGCGTTGAGTTATCTATCGCACATCCAGGCTTTCCCTATCTTTTCTGTTTCCCCTGCCATCGGACAGTCAAAACAGCCTTATCTGCTTTGGAAGTCTCCACGAAAGCTGTTCGGTTGCTCTTCCCTCTTCCCTTCCCACCACCTAGTTGACGAGGCGAACCCCCTCCCTCTTTCCTCGGACAACTGTCTTCGTTCTCCTCATACTTTTTATGACACGTTCCATCTGGAATCGGTTTATGTCATCGTCACATCAGATTCCGATATGGAAGACATCAACATCCCTTCCCCATCTGCTATTCTAGACGTCCAACGTCCCTCCGCATCGTCGGTCGGACATTCCAACCCGTCTGTTTCTCCTAAGAACTCGACTGCAGGCCAGCGAGGTGCTGCCAAAGATCGTAGCAAGCCAAAGCAGACCAAGAGCCGTAACGGTACGGTATCATTACTTTTCTACTAGTTTTAGCGTCATGGGCATGAAGGGCGACAGATGTGTTAGAATAAGAGCACAGAGGCATGAGCATAGTGACAGGGCACAGACGCTCCATAAGTCGCAGCGCGCTGACGTCTTATTGTTCACCTTATCCAGGCTGCCAGACTTGCAAGGACAAGCGATTGAAATGTGACGAGACCAAGCCAAGTTGTATTCAATGTAGGAAGCGAAACGTGACATGTGAAGGATACATAAAGAAATTCAAATGGCGCAACGGCTTTGGGCAGAAGAGTTTCGTTGGGGGAACGAATGGCAGTGCAAATACAAAGAAAGGTACGCTAACAGCCCCAGGCCATCTCAACTTTGAGGTGTATTGCTGACGTTCCTGTAGCTATCCAATATCAGTCTAATGAAAACCCAAGTACAGAAAATTCAGGAACCCCCATTCCACAGAACCAATCTAGGGCATCAAAGCCACAGCAAGCTGCCTCTAGCCTTCCTTGCATGAGCTCGGGGTCTTTTATGGATCTTGCTGACCTGACCTCGAAGAATGCATCGCCTTCAAAACGGACCAACAGGCGTTCATTCAGCGACAAGGATTCGTTTGGCAACCCAGATGAGTTTATTGGCCAGCTAACGCCAGTGAGCTTCAATGGAGACATTTTCGCATCGTCATTCACAGACATCTCGCCTTCAGACCAGATTTCTTGGATTTCTGATGTCTCATTGGCTGCAGTAGAGCAAAGGCCGGGGAATGGGCGCGAGCCCAAACGTGACCTTGGGCGCAACAACTCCTATGCAGAAGAAGGTTTTAGCTTCGAAGAATTGATGGAGGTTGATGATGAGGATATCGAGGAGATAGTACGAAGGCCCGACCGAAGCATGAAGTCCGGGCGGCCGGAGAACGCCGACATGAACATCGCTCCGCACCAGGAACTATTCAACATCTGCAGGGAACCCAACCTCGGCATTGCAAGCCCAGAAATGCTGGTTTTGCAATTTGACAGGGTGACGTGTGGGATATTGTCTGTAAAGGACGGTGTCCACGAGAATCCGTGGCGAACTTTGATCTGGCCGTTGGCTAAAGAGACTCCAGCTCTGTATCATGCTGTGTTCTCGCTTGCTGCCTTCCATTCAAGCAAAGAGTTTCCAGCCTTGCGAGTTCACGGTGTGGATCACATGCGCCAGAGCATCACCCACTTGGTGCACGACATACGGAACATGAGGGTTGATGCAGCATTAGCGACGAGCCTGGCGCTTGCGTTTGCCGATACCTGGGACCAACACACTCGTACCTGCATTCAGCATCTGAAAGGTGCCAAAGCACTGGTCTCGCAAGTGGTGGGGCTCGGTGCTCAAGGCGAAATGCGTGGGATTAACCTGAGCAGGGTGCGTTTCCTCTACAACACATGGCTGTATATGGACGTAATTGCTCGCTTGACCTCTCGTGAAGAATCGGGGGATCAGGAGGTGAATGCTCCCTTCTTCCAACTCCCAAGTCACGCTGTACATGAGATTGATCCTTTGATGGGCTGTGCAACGACGCTTTTCCCTCTCATAAATCAAGTGGCTCGGTTGGTTCAGCGTGTTCGCAAGACGACATCCAATTCCATCTCGCTCATTTCGCAAGCCATAGAGCTGAAAAGGCTTGTTGAGCAGTGGGAACCACCGCAATTGTTCGAGCCTCCAGAGGACCCATCTTCCGAGGTCCAGCATAGTATTCAAACAGCCCATGCTTATCGCTGGGCAACACTGTTATACCTTCACCAGGCGGTACCTGAGATGCCTTCAGAGCCGACCTCCGAGCTTGCCAAGCGCGTGCTGATTCTGTTGGCTACCGTTCCTTCAAGTTCTCGAACCCTGATTATCCAGATGTTCCCTCTGTTGGCGGCAGGATCCGAAGCAGAGCAAGAGGATGATCGTCAGTGGGTGTTGAGCCGGTGGGAATCTATTCAAACCCGCCTCATGCTGGGCTCGATTGATCGCTGCATTGATATAGTCCGCGAAGTCTGGGCACGCAGGGATGCTTTTGAAGATGAGAAACAACGGTTGCGGGGATCGTCTAGGCGTGGGATCACCTCTGTCATGGAGACTTCGACGAACGATAGAGTACCTCTCACCAGCCTTAGACCGAATGATCAGATGGGCCGTAGTACCTACGCCAAGGAGCCATGGAGGAGGACGATTCAGGAGGAATGGTTGGCCTCTAAGGCTACTATTGGGAACTCGCGACGGAGCTCGGCTATGTCCCCGTTGGAGAATATTGAATTCGAAAAGACGGTTCGAGGCAAATTGCACTGGATCAACGTAATGCAGGATTGGGGATGGGAAGGTATGTGTGAGCTTTTGCTTGTTGTTTCATTGAATCTGCTTTGCTATTCGTACTTGTGGAGAACACCAGCTCATTCATATAGTGTTCCTCGGTTAAGACCAGTGCTAGTGTGTTCGACACGAGCGCATCTTCATCACCGGGCGGGGGCGGCCAGCACGATCTTTATTCTTGCTTCCTTTCCGGCATGGCTGCTCTCGCTGAGTTTGTTGGTCGGAATTGCTCGAGCTGGTATTCGTCTCGGACTCTTCGGCTGGATCCTCTGTTGGAGAAGCTGGGGGCTTATTCTTAGCCAGATACGATCGAAGGGATGCCAGATAAGGCTCCAGGTCACTCGTTATGGACACAGTAGTAGCCATGGTTGCGAGGGCTGTACAATGATTGAGGACGATTGAATGATTGATGGGTTGATGGCGCGACGGAGAATATATGCTTTTTGGATTGCTTGAATGGGTATTGTCGCGCGGGGTCTTACACTGGAGCTTGAAATCAGCAAGGCGTTCTGCGATGAGTGTAGCAAATAGTCACATTCTTTACGGGACTACCTGGAAGATTTGTCAGGTCCCGGGGTGCTTTCTTTTGGAATGAATTTATGTCGAGCTATGGCGCGTCGGTGTATGGTCTTGAGTGTCGCTAGGGAAGAGCAAGATTTTCCGACCGAGATTACTGGCAGACTGAATGGCGCATGGGACAGACGATAGTAGTTCGCAAGGGGAGTGTACTATGAGTACTAGGATTGACTGGTTGGCGATTCGAATATAGGTCTGAACTGGGGGCAGACAGGCGATAGTAGGCGGGCAGTCGCAGGGGACAGTTTCTGACAATGGTCGATCGTATACAACTGTCTACAAGATGAACAGTCGGGGCGTATATGCGAATCGACGATGGTTATGCTGCTAGGAAGTAGTTGAGGGGTTTCTGCGTGAGGAAGAAGATTTGCATTGGGTGACCGTCGTGTAATTGCTGCTTGGGCTGTTCGATCGGTGTGCTTTCCTTGTCGACAGTCGACTTTTCCAGTCTTTCTTTCTTTCTTCTTTCCTTCTTTTTCCTTTTTGCTTCTTGCTTCTTGCTTCTTGTTTCTTCAACTACCAGAAAAGAAAGGATCAGGACTGCAAGACAAAAGGTGGGAAAAAGCCAGCGTTTTAAGACCGGCCGATCCCCACCAAACCCGCAGGACTACGGGCTTAGTTCAGCTTTTTGCTTTTACTTGCTTAGGAAAGGGAAAGATTGAGTCAATTATTTTTTTTCTCTGCTTAGTTAGTCAGTCAGTCAGTTCCCTCGCTAACTAACTAGTTAGTTAGTTTTCTTTAATTATCCCTCTTTTCTTCGCTCTGTCGTGGTCTGATTTCGGATCTTGCTTTGCCTTGCATAGGAGTGATTTTAGTAGGAATTATGCAAGTATATCTGCGGATGAGCTAACCTACTTTTTCTTTTCTTTTCTTTTCTTACCATACGGAGAGTCCGGTGATGGGTGCTGAAGATACACACTCTTGATAGGGGAAGAATCCCCGGGTGGGTAGGTGGGGAAGGAAGATGGAGAGAAGAAAGCGACTGACTGACTGACTGACTGATGGATAGAATAGGATAGGATAGGATAGGCTTTGCAAGTTCGGCTTTACTGAACTGGGCAGGTGGATGATCATTGCGCTGGAGGGGAAGGGGAGAGGGGCTCAGACACTGGCTGCATGTGAGCTGTTTCTTGTTTTCTCTACAGAAAATGAG